ATAATAGTGCTTCCTTTGCAGTTCTATCTGCCATTTCATTGTCCTGAATTCCTATGTGTGATGGAATCCAAATCAGAGTAATGGAAATTCCTAAAGAAGTCAAATAGTTGCAAGTATCATGGATATTTTGAACTAGCGGATATTGAGTGTAGAGATTTTGTATGGATTGAATAGAAGCTAAAGAATCTGTACAAATTGCCACATGTGTATCTTTTTGAGTCATAGACTTAAATGCTTAAAAAATTCCATACAATTCACCAGTGTAGACACTACATAACGATGGAAACAGAGAAGTTTTAATAGTAGTTGAAATGATGGTTACTAAGGAGCTAACATTGGAAATGGCATTGTTTTTTTTAGGTCAATATTAGTTAGTAGTGGTCTAAGAATTTAAGATTTAATTATTAATAATAAACGACTTTATGCACAAAAAATTATAATATAATTAATATACAAATTTAAAATAACATATTGTTACAAATAAATATAACACCCTGTGAATAAGTTTGTTATGATTTGTAAAGTTTTGTCCAAGGGAAAGCGCGCCAAACAAATATTCAATAAAATAATAAAAACTGTAGTTGGACAAGGTTTTATTAAATCATAATATTAAATTACATGGTCAAAAAAAAGATAAACAAGAATACGCTTGAGACTTTTCAAGTGGATTATTCGGGACTTTCCAACCCCTAGGAGCACAAAACATGTGCAAAGCTTTCTAGGAATGTGTAACTTTTATAGAAAATTTATAAAAGATTTCTCCAAAATACCACATCCACTCCATCAGGCCACCCACAAGGATGGATTCTTATGGACAACAGAACAACAGCAGGTTTTTGAGTGTCTTAAGGAAAAACTGACCACCGCTCCAGTTCTAGCACACTTTAATCCAATTAGAGGGTGTGAGCTGCGTGTGGACGCCAGTAAAATAGGGATAGGAGGCATTTTGTTACAAGAGGGTGAGGATGATGAACAACACCCCATCGCTTTTATTAGCAGGAGCCTGACAAAAAGCGAAAAGAACTATACCATTACAGAGCTTGAGGGCCTGACTGCCATATGGGCACTAGCTTACCTGAGACACATGGTATATGGAAAACCGGTGAAGATCGTAACAGATCATCATGCTCTCTGTTGGTTAAAAGCCAGTAAATATCGGAATACGAGTACGAAATTGTGCACAAAAATGGAAAGAAGGACAGCGATGCTAACTGCCTGTCCAGGAATCCTATAACTAATACCCTGGGACCAGATATAAATGAGCTGGAAGAAGTTCCAACATTCCTAGCCCTTCCAGAGGATCTAGTAACGGAGCAAGGATGCGAACCTGACACTAATAGTTTAAGATCTGGAAGACCCCTCAAGTGTCCCTATGGGAGTGGCTATAAGAGCCAAGAATTTTAGATTAATAAATGGTGTGCTACATAAGGCAAACAGCAACACAGCAGGAGTAGATAACCTTTTGGCAATCCCCCGACACCTGGTAGCAGAAGTCCTGTTCTCCATGCACAAGGAGCCCTTATCCGGCCACCTAGGCATAACAAAAACATTACTCATGGTTGCGAGCAGGTTTTACTGGAAAAACCTGCAGAAAGACGTCGAGAAGTACGTCAAAAGTTGCAGCGATTGCCAAGCGAGAAAAGGGCAAAAAACAAGGAGGCCAGTGGGCTTACTCCAGAAAAATTAGGTGCTCTGCTAGCTTAATATCAAGCTAACAGAACACTTTTGGATTTTTTAAATTTTGATAATGCCATAATTTTAGGTTATCATACTTTTTTAAATTTCCTGGTTTGCTGTAATATTCTTGTAGTCGTTTAACATTTGAGCGAATTGGAAAAACCACATTTTATTTTAATTTTGTAATGAAACAACAGATATTTCAAAAATCAATATTTTATTCTTACAAACAAAAAACAAACCAAACAGTAAACAAATAAAACATTCAATTAGCCAAAAATTAAATAGGTTTTTTCTGGATTTGGCTGATGCAAATTCTTTTATATTATTGTCAAAATCAATTTTATTGAAGATCTCTTGCTCTATAGCTAAGATTGCCAAACCCGATAATCTTTCTTGTGACATGTTAGACTTTAAATAATTTTTAATTATTTTTAATTGTGAGAAGGATCTCTCCCAGAAGCCACAGATACAGGTAAAGTAAGCAGGATTCTTAACGAAATGGCAATATTTGGAAGAGATGAAGTTAGATTGTTTTCAAATATATATTGTAAAATGTCGATTGGATTTGACGCTTCAGGTAATAAAAACAATCTTAGGGCTTTTATCATATTAAATAAATCAGTTTCTTCTACTAAGCCTCCTTCTTTTTCTGATTAATTAGCTTTTGCTGTAGAGCACGACAGTATTTTAAAAATATCACTAAGAAAACCAAAAACGTCGTAATCAGATATCATTTCAAATCTACTACTTAAAGAACTTAGTGTTTGATCAATTATTTTTAAAAAGAAATTTATTTTAAACGCTGTTTTTTGATCTTGAGGTATCTCATCTCTCTGTTCATAATCGAACAGTTTTGGTTTATACTTTCGTCTAACAGTATTTAATGGAGGAAAACCTTGCTTTATCTCAAGAGCGGCTGCTAGTTCTCCAGCTTGAGCAAGTTTTTCCTCGAAAACATTATCATCTGTATAATTTTTAAAATTATTAACTAGATTCTTTGAATAGTTTTGGCACATTTTATTATCAGTCGTTACACTTTGCATCATTTTGCTTACAATGCCAATCTGGAATAAAACATCATACCAAATTATTACACTGCAAATAAATTTAAAAGATTGGATAGCATAGAACTTGCTTTATGCCTAGCTTCTATATTAAAAGTATCATTTTCAGCTATTTCTAGAAAGCTACCACAATATCTTATTAATAGCCGAAGTAAGTCAAAGTCAAAGGTATATTCCCGTTTCGCCTGACATAAAAATTTGTTACGCTTTGGTAGCGTTTTGCCTGACTACATGTTAAACGGAAAAAATAGTTGCGATTCTCCTGACCTGCTCAGGTAATAAATATGTATTTGCTGTAAAGAAATCTATTACTAACAAATGAATTATAATAAGAAATGAACATAAAATTAAATTAAAATATTATAGTTATTTAATTTTATATAAACAAAAAATATAGAGCACCCAGTATAGTAAAAAGTTAGTAAAATAAAAGCTAAACATTTTTTCAAATTGTCGAAGCGTAAAGCGAATAAACTATTTGAATTTAGAAATTTTTATGTGTCCCAATAATCGGCCAGGACAAAAAAAATGGATGGCACAAAATTAATCGAAAAACATTTGATCGAATTGGAAATTTGATCGAAAATACATTTTTTCGAATGGAATTTGATCGAAAATACTTTTGGTCGAATAACATCTGATCGAAGATATATTTTATCGAATAACATTTTATCGAAAAGACAATAGATCGAAAATTCATTAGATCAAAAGGACAATATATTGAAAATCAACATTTAAAATAGTAAAATATCAAAAAATCAAACGGTACTAATGGCAAATTTTTCAATAATCTCAAATGATAGCTACCTCGTTTAACAAATTCTATCCTTACAATATTGTTTTTTTTTGTCATCGGCTTCAACTGCTAAAGTTATTTTGCCTCGTGTTATGTGTAGGATTTGTCACTGTTTCCCAGTGCCAGGCATCAGAATTAATTTTAAATATTTCGTAGATGAGTTTTCAAGTTTGAACAGGAAAAATCGACAAGATCTAATATGAAACTTACTCGTCGTACAATATTCGAGTCTGGACAGGAAAAACGTAGTTCGTAGAGAATTCACGTCTGTACAGCAAAAATCGACAAGATCTAATTTGAAACTTACTCGTTGTTCGTACAGTATTCGACTCTGAACAGGAAAAATCGACAAGTTTATATTTTATACGAGTATTCATGGTATTACATGTTGCACACAGAATTAAGAAACCTATTGATTTTATTATATATTTAATAATTAACGCTAATTAAAAAGCTATTTAATTTCAAAAATAGTTATGTTTTCTGTCACAATAGGAATAGGTTATTATATCAACGAACATAAACTTCGATAACATTATTGATTATATTTTCATCAATTGAGATAAAAACATTTTTGATTTCTTCAGTGTCTTAGTGTCTTGTTCATTGGAATCGTTATAAAAACTAAAAATTCGAATTGTATACAGACCTCCGATTTGGCGCCCCTTTAGAGGTGCGCCAGCGTGCGATGCACGCGTTGCACGCATTGCACGCGCAGTTACAGGGGCCCTGCATGTGTTATATATACCCCTTAGGTAGATCGGTTAGGCATAATGTTATGATATTTTCCAGCTATTTCTCCTTAAATTTCAAGTTAGTTTTCTTATTTAGCTTTACTTGTCTCAAGTACGCTATAGAATTATTAATTCCAAATGGCGCACTCTGAAACATCAATAATTGAAATACTAAATATCTGAATGTGTAAATTTACTAGCAAATACCTTCAATTTTTTTAAATAAATTTATTTTATTAAAATTAAGCCTAACAGCATACAAAACAATTACAAAAAAATTAGATAAAAACTACCCAAAATTTTAAAATTTGATGAACCCAGATAATAAATTAAAATTAAAAATATCGTAGTGAGAATTGTGTAAAAGTCTATTCATAAAAACTCTTGGTCCATAATTTGCACCATGAGTTTTTTCACAAATAATAGTTGATTATTTTGTGAAGAAGAAGTATTGCATTGCATCCCTAAGTCTCTGTTTATGATTTTTAACTCCACAGAGCATCAGTCTCATTCCGTAAAATAAATTCCTTTATGGGAATTGAAACTTTATACATTCAGCTATACTAATGAAAACTATAAATCATCAAAATAATATAATTAATTTAAACAATCAACAAACCAAATATTAAATTACACCAAATTTTCAACTAATTTTACGTAACGTACTCCAGTGAATACAGCATTCACAGCGAGACAATAGACGTAATAATACCGAAAACACATCATTACCAGAGCACTTTCACTGAAACTTCGGAATCACTGAAACATATCAAGTATATAAAACAACATTGGGAACAATGCCAAGTTCAAATTTTCCAAAATGCTTCTCGCGTACGGTTTGACATTCCTGCAGACGTTCTTTCTGTTATTTCCTTTAGCAAAGTGCATGAACGACTCCATTGGTGACACTTTCCGGCAGTGTTTGATATCCCAATCGCCGGGAAATTTGGGACAGTGCTTGGGAGTCGGGGCTATAAGTAGATTGCGAAGTTTGGATAGCAGTGCTGAATTCGATCTGGTGGATGGTTTGACTTTAACGAGAGACGCTCAGGAATACCGGGAGGCTTACAACTTTGAAGGAAATCCTACGAATTTGAGGTAATGGGGGTACTATTTTAATAACAAAGTAAGAACCACAAATAACATTTATTTATTAAGTAAATAGGAAGGAACGGTAATCAGTTTCGGCTAAATAGTGAGCATTAGGTATATCAAAAATATGTAACAAATGAAAAATTTAAAAGTGCATACCTTAACGAAAAATTATATAATTACATTTCTTCAGTGAATAGAAAAGGCAGAAAGGAAGGAAAGAAGCATAGAAGTAACAAAATTTGAAAATTAGACAATGGTGTTGATGGTGTTTATGATGTATATGATATAAGAAGTTATTGCATGTTTGTGCCTACCATCTTAGGAAAATGAAAAAGTGCCGTGGGGTAACCTACCTTCCAAACATTGCATATACAGAGCCCTTATTTTTAAAAACTATTAGGGTCTGCAATTTGTTTGTTTCTAAAAATATTTGTGTTCCTTGACAAGGGGGGTAGCCATGTGTGAGTTGAAGTAATTTTAAGGTGAAGGGGGGAGAAAAAGTCCTTTATATCTCACAAGGAAAGTCCAATGTTTAATTATTCAACAAAAACATTGAGTGCGACCGGTTTCGAAGTAACATCACTTCATCTTCAGGCTCGCCTAGTGGAAAGGAGAATATGTGGTGTAAGGTGTGTTGATTTTGAGCCCACAATATATAAAATAGTAAAAAATAGAAAAACTCACCATACTCTCCATCCACTAGGGAATACTACAGACAAGTTTCATCAAAACGTGGGGGATGAAATAAATTGTAAAACAAAACAATGTTATAAGTTATGAAAGTTAAAAATATTTGAAAAACAAATATTAGTCGATATAAAACAGTTAAAAATTTTTAAAAATTCAAGACGATACAAAAACAAATTACATACATTAAACAGATTAAAAGATAAGGCCTTTTTTAAGCAAACATTGCTGTTTTTTATAAAAATCTAACATTTTTGAAAGGAGACCTGTCAAGTTAAGGCCTCTACAGGTGGTGGTAAGTACTAAAGAAAAATTCTTGGATAAACTTATGACGGTATAGGTAATAAGATGTAAACTATGAGTGAAGAAATATTTATTATATAAGATTTGGGCCATGAACCAATCACCAAGTGTATGTGATGTTGTAGGATAAAATAAGAAAAAAGAAGAAATGACTGGGTTAACTGTTGTGAAGCAACTGGAAAATAAGTTGCTTCACAACAGTTAACCCAGTCATTTCTTCTTTTTTCTTATTTTATCCTACAACATCACATACACTTGGTGATTGGTTCATGGCCCAAATCTTATATAATAAATATTTCTTCACTCATAGTTTACATCTTATTACCTATACCGTCATAAGTTTATCCAAGAATTTTTCTTTAGTACTTACCACCACCTGTAGAGGCCTTAACTTGACAGGTCTCCTTTCAAAAATGTTAGATTTTTATAAAAAACAGCAATGTTTGCTTAAAAAAGGCCTTATCTTTTAATCTGTTTAATGTATGTAATTTGTTTTTGTATCGTCTTGAATTTTTAAAAATTTTTAACTGTTTTATATCGACTAATATTTGTTTTTCAAATATTTTTAACTTTCATAACTTGTAACATTGTTTTGTTTTACAATTTATTTCATCCCCCACGTTTTGATGAAACTTGTCTGTAGTATTCCCTAGTGGATGGAGAGTATGGTGAGTTTTTCTATTTTTTACTATTTTATATATTGTGGGCTCAAAATCAACACACCTTACACCACATATTCTCCTTTCCACTAGGCGAGCCTGAAGATGAAGTGATGTTACTTCGAAACCGGTCGCACTCAATGTTTTTGTTGAATAATTAAACATTGGACTTTCCTTGTGAGATATAAAGGACTTTTTCTCCCCCCTTCACCTTAAAAATATTTGTGTTCCTTACAGCTTGGGTGTGTCCATGTAAAAATATTTTGTCTCTTTACTAAATCCTCCTATAAAAAACATATTTGGTCCTTTACCCCTGTTCGGTTAAAAAATATTTAACTCTTTTCCCTCTTCAGCCAGCACATGTAAAAATATTTTATTAATTTTTTTAATGTTTAATTATAATAAATTTAATGAAATTAGTTAATCTATCACACTTAAATTTAAAATAGAAAAGGTGTAAATTAAGTGATTTTCTGATTGTTTTTCACTCTATACCGTGCTATATACCATTTATTTTATCCTTTGTCGTCCACAATCAACCAGATTAAACTAGTGTGTGACAAATTTAGGTGCATAACCAGTCAATTAGTTTCTATTGAATTCGACTAACATCAGGCTCGTAATGCTGCAAAGCTACAATTAAAACGGATTTTACATTTGTGGTGATTTGAATTTGCTTCAAATTATATTACAGGTCTGCCGTCGAATTTGGTCAAGACTAAATGCTGGTTTAGCGCGAACTCAATTTGACGTTTCTTGACCGAATATAGACCAGACCATAGATATACAGTGAGCACCATAAGTCTTACCCCCCCTATCTAACTCGTTACTGGAGTCTTGTTAGGAAAATCGCCGAGACAGGTCGATTTTTGATTTCTACAATGTACATTTTTGTATGAATAGTTTACCCTTAATTTCATCCCTTACTGGAGGGGAGCAACCCTTTCGAAAAATTTAAATGGCATGGGGTGGTGAGTGATAGCTCATTTGAAAGAGGGTTTTATTCTCTATTTAACCGTGTAAAAAAAATTTAAAATTTGCTTCATTAATTCTCGACTAATTGTTGTTTCAGAATAACAGAAATTAACGTAGCGCACTCATCCTTAGAATTAAAATTCGGCCCTGCATGACTTCGGTTTTGGTTCAGACGTGAAGTAAGACTTTTTGCCATTAGAAGGTCACTGTTAGTCTAGTTGCTTTCCTATTTTGTGAGGTTTTGTTATTTTTAAACATTAATAAATCAACATGTAATAATGCAAATTTTAAATTTTTTTTGCACGGTTGAATAGAGAATAAAACCCCCTTTCAAATGAGCTATCACTCACTACCCCATGTCATTTAAATTTTTCGAAAGGGTTTTTACCCTCCAGTAAGGCATAAAATTAAGGGTTAACTAATCATGCAAAAATGTACATTGTAGAAATTAAAAATCGACCTGTCTCGGCGATTTTCCTAACAAGACCCCAGTAACGAGTCAGTTAGGGGGGGGGGGGGGTAAGACTTAAGATGCTCACTGTATAACCAAGACAGATATGATTATTTACAAAATTTCTGAAGTCAACGCGGATGATCCTCGGCAGAAATGCAATATTTGGATAAAACATTGATGCCAAGTTTGTAATGGTTTTAACTGTAGTAATGTAATTACGTTTGCTTACAATAATAGTAAAAATAAATAATTACCTATAATTTTTCTTTAAGGCATAAGCTTTTATTTACTTTGAAAAACATAAATGATCAATCTATATAACTACATCATTGACCCTGTCAAATTACCACAAGGTTGCCATATAATAACCAAATCATAACCTGTCAAAATCTACTGGCAGCAATTTTGTTTTGAATGTCCAATTGTATTGGCGTCTTCCTTGTTTTTTTTTTATTTGGTGTCATCGGCATCGACTGCTAAGGTCATTAGCTTCGTGTTCTGTGTAGGATTTATTACTGTTTCCCAGCGCCACTTTAGGAACAGCACTGTTAATTAGAACCCAATAGTGAATGGTCGAGTGGCTTCCTTGTTTGTTGTGTTCGTATTCTATTTTTTTTCTCTTTAATGACCACACTCACAATTCGAAAAATCTGGTAGATTTTATAGAATCTGGTACATTTTTATGGAATCTGGTACGTTTTTTAAACAAATCTGGTATATATTAAAAATATAATCTGACAGCAATGTAGTGAATATATCGTTCATTTCTCCGAGCAATGACTACTAGAGGAAGTCTTCCCCCCTTCCCCGCGCTAAATTTTGTTAGCAACATCTACTCCCCCCGAGGAGAAAATACCTCTTCTGTAATTGGCTTATTTAATCAGCGTTGTCAAGTTTGACAGCGCCAGTTTTGACACTTTCTGACACATGTCAATTTCTTATTTGTATTTTACGGAAAATATTATTTTTAAATAAACGTTTGGATCATAGAGTTACTACAAAAATAAGATAGCTCCACTTTTGACATTTTCCAGTTAAGTACACTTTCGTCTCCAAAATAGTTCAAATAATATATGGCATAAACAAAAATGTGAACGAAGTCAATATTCATGATAAACAAATAGTCAAAAAACTAACTCCATATTGATACATTCACAATATGCACAAACAAGATAAATGGCATTTTTACAGAAATATAATGATAACATTGTGTTCAGTTGCTAATAGTATGTATACCAAAACCAGATAAGAGACATAACTTATTTTTGCTAAATGTATTAAGTTTGATTTCTAATAGTGTTTTGGCCAAAACAAGATGAAGGCTAGAACACTTATTTTTGTTGAATGTATTTGTTAAAATACAACATTTTGTCCAAGTTATTTGTTTTACCTAGAGCCGTCTTTGGCCTTTTTCGATTGTTCCGACAAGGTGATTACGTCATCCTTTCTTTCCACGATACAGCTAACCTTGAAAGACCAATTGATGATAACACATGATGCCCGAATCGCCGTGGTGAATGACTGATAAGCCGTATGTTACGTTTCATTAATAAACGTTTTATAAAAACAAAATGTTACGTTTTAAAGGTATATAGTTAAATGTTTTATAAAAAATGTTACTTTTGCAAAGTTACGTTATTACAACATATTTTGCACCACGTTAAATTTCTACCCCTTACCTGGGTCTCATTGTAAAAATCCTTATAATAAGAATTCTTACAAGCCTCAGGCCTAGCTCAGATCAAAATAGGTCAGTCGGATTCGTTTAGAATTTACCTTCAAGTCAATGACAAAGTCTTTAATTAAAAAGACTTAAAAGAATTCAATGAAATTAATTTTGGGCGCCATACTTTCAGATGTAAAATAAAAGCAAATTTGTCATCAACTTGTCGGTTAAAAGTAAGAAAAAAAACTAAAATTTCAAA